AATTTTTGCATCTTCCTTCCCTCTCTTTTTCTCCCTTCTTTTTTCTCTCTCTTCCTCTCTAATTTTCCATGAAAATAACTGGTTTCCTTTGTTTTCTTGTCCTGTAACTTCCATGTAACCTAAGTTTTTCTTTTCTTTTCCTTTTTTTTTTTTTTGTCTTGGAAGGAGACAAGGCAGGCTGACATTTGGGCTCATAACATGCCAGACACACCCAGGTCTAAATTTGATCACTAATACTTGCCAATTGTATGACATGGGTGAATTATTTGATCCTACAGAACCTCAGTTTCCTTATCTGTAAAATGGAAAGAATAAGACCCCATTTGATGAAATTGAGATGAAATGATGGAGACTGCATGGTGGTGGATTCAGAGTAAGCACTAAAAATCATTATTTTTCTCTCCCTTTGGGAGACACAGAAAACCCCAGAAGTTATCTAGTTCTGGCTGAAAAGCCAAGACCACTCCCCAGAAGCAACTGCAGTGCTAGGCAGCCTGCCCTGTTCTGCCTTATTCCCCAGGTTGCTCAAGTGACATCAACTCCCTATAGCCTTGGAGCTGGAGCTTACTCGTGGTGGGGAGCAGACACAGATGCTCATCTGCTGGTTCAAATCCCAATTCTGCTGCTACTACCGTTGGGGCCTCACCGACCCCAGGCAACATTCTTAACCTCTCCAAGCCTCGGTTTGCCTGTCCATTAAATGGGGATACTAAAAGTAGCAGCCTCAAGGAGTTTGCTAGAAGGAAAAAAATTATTTAAATTTAATGATGATGATGATGATGATGATGATGATGATGATGATGATTGTACAGGGGATCGAACTCATGACTTTGCGCTTACCAGACAAGTGCTTGAGCCACTGAGCTAAATCCTTGGCATGATTTAAATTTTAAAATATGTTTTTGAAATGCCTAGCACAAAGCAAAGTTACAAATTTATGTAATAAATATTTCCTGAGTACTGCTGGGGGCCGCAGACTGGTTATGAGGACCATTCATAAATGTCCCTGGTCTGAGGACGCACAGGCTTCACTAAGGGACCAGAAGTCCCCAGAGAGACGCACGCAGGGTGTAGGGAGATAGGACAGCAGCGGCTGTCTACACCGAGGCCTTGCCAGGCGGGGACACGTGTCGGAGCCTGGGCTCCTGCTGGGTCCTGGAGGTCAGGGGCTTGCCGCGTAGCAGCTTCCTGCTGCTGGGGAGGCAGGAAGGCTCTGAGGCCCCCGAGAGGAAAAGAGGCTCGGGCGCCACCAACAACCCTGGACGACCTGAGCTCCGAAGCCCAAGGTCGGAAGCACAGGGCTCTGGGCGCCCGCTTACGGGTCTCTTCCACCTGCCTGCAGGGCGCAGCACCGGAGACCGGTGGGAACAGAACAAAGAAAGATGCCGTGTTCTGTTTTGCCCACTGGGTGGAGTATGTTAGCCAGGGAAGGGCGCGGGGGAGGCAGTCACCCGGGAGGTCTCTGCAGCGGACGTCAAAACCCTGCCCCGCGGGAGCTGTGCTCTGCGCCTCCACCTGGCTGCGGGTGCCCAGGCCAGTCCTGCTCAGAGGAAACCTCTGAGCCAGAAAGGGGCTGTGGAGGGTTAGCGGGCAGACTCTTTCAGTACTTGGAATCCGGAGAGTTGAGGGGACAGGCACGGGACAGCTGCCCCGGGTCACAGGGGCGGGCAGAGCCCAGGCTTCCTGGCTTCCTGGCTTCCTGGCCATGGAAACTTTTGCATATGGATGTGACCCACAAATGCAGTGTGGACATGTAGTTTTTTATTAAAATGGTCTGAAGGGGAAAACTAATGTTGACATGGAGCCCCAGAGCTGAAGAGATACCCTAGGGTCCCCAGAACCTGCTTCTCTGGGGCTCCACTTCTTTACCGGTGGGCAGCCGCCACTCACACTCCATCCTCCCCTTCAGCTTCGTGCTCTGGGTTCCGACCCCTGGGCCACCTTGGCCCACGTCTGGCCTCCTCCTTCACTGGGGTTTCCCACACTTTTCCCCGGTGTTTTTCAGCACTTGGGCCTCATGTTGTACACACACGCGCGCGCACACGCATGCACGCAGGGCAGGAATGATTTGTTTTTGAATACTGTTTGTTTCTCCTCTAGGATATAAATTCTTTGGTTTGGGTTTACAAGTTGCCTATCCTCTGTGTCCACAAGAGTGGCTGATACGTAGCAGATGCTTCATAAGAATTTGTTTAATTGACAAGTAAATGAAAGATCATGGGTTTGGAATCCTATTTGCCTGCAAAATAGATAGTGGTGAAGATCAGATTAAACAATGTATGCCAAATCATCCTGCCACCTGTTAAGAATAAACACAGGAAAGGACCAAGGTTAGAGGAAAGGATTCTAGATAGTGCCTACTTATAGCATGAATGGGAATTGTTAGAAAAATAGGGAGTCAATGTCATATATTGTGATAACAATTAACTTCTCGTATCAATTTATTCCTTTTATTTAACTATTTTGCTAAAAAAAAAAAAACAACCCACAAAATGCCTGTTTTTACTTGGAGCACAAAAATACACACTTTTCAGCAGGGTCACATAAACTAGGTGGCAACTCACTAAAATGAAACAGCTGATTTTCGGAATGTAAGGCTGACCCAGAGATGTAGGATGCCTACCTTGTTTACAAAAATAAAATTGGTGAGCAAAAGGGTAAAGGAAAACAAAAACAGGAGAATAAAGGACAAGCAGAAAATAAGGCCAGTACAGAAACTGTGAACTATGAAAACCTGCTTCTTCGTAGGAGAGAGACATCTCTTTCCTATCTACAAGGAATTCACAGGGGAACCTGGCAACCACAGCAAGTGTCAGTGGCTCTGTGTGCCAAGACTGGGTTTGGAGTTCCAAATAGGGTCCATGGTGTGGGGACAGAACTTTCCACAATGGGGCTTTAGGTTGGGAGCCAGACTTGAGGGCTAAACTAAAATCTTTTAAAATTTCCCTCTGCCCTGGTGGTTTTGGCAGCTGCCAGTCAGTAGGAAACTGAATGACAATGCCTCCAAATATCTCTGTCTTTCCGTTATAGGAAAAAAAAAAAAAAAAACATGTTAAGAAAAGTGAGCCAGGTGTGGTTGTGCACCCCTGTAATACCAGCGCTCCGGAGGCTGAGATAGGAGGATTGTTTCAAGTTCAAAATCAGCCTGGGCTACAAAGTGAGCTCAAGGCTAGCCTGAAAAGTAGAGCGAGACCCTGTCTCAAAAAGATAACAACAACAACAATAAAATTCTAAATAAAGATAACTCAATGAGATTGAGACAACTGGGCAGAGTTTTGGGAAGCTGACCGCAAAAAACAAGACATATATTGTTTCTCTCAGAAGTGCCTTTCCCCGCTAATTTGCCAAAGGAATCAGAGATCTCACGTACTTGCTCATGACCTGGAAAGAGAAGCATGCCTCAGAATAGTTATTCTTGACTTTGTCTTTAGAAAGTGCAGAAACTCTACTATGGGACAGAACTGAATGCAGCTGGGTGATCAGCGAGGGGTTTCCCAGGCCCTGGCTTCCCTGATATGCAAGCTTTAGTCCCACTCAGAATCATGCCCCCTCCCAGGGACCGCCGTGATGCCTTTTCCTTCCTGCTCCTGTTAAAGGTGCCGGTGTTGTCCAGCCACAAGGAGGCAAAAGCTTGGCCAGAATCATTAGAACAACAGATTCCTCTAAAGTGGGGAGATCTGAGTGGACTATTGTTTAAGCAGAGGAGATTGTCAGGAAGCCACATAGGAAATAGGTGTCTGCAGGGAAAGTGCCTGAGTGACAGCCAAACTCCAGGGCCCTAGTTTTCGAGGGGAGATGATTGCTCTCACTGGCTATTAGAAGCGGAGTAATCTCATATCAACTGCTGACTTCTCTGAACCTCAGTTAGCTCATCTGTACAATGAATACAAATCACTGCTGCCCCGGCTGTCTACTGGGTTAAAAGATAGGGTAGACAGAAAAGGGCTCACAAACAATTCCTATCAGAAACTGACAAGTAATTACAGTTATGACCAATATTATACCACCTCCAATTGGAATGAAGTGTAGTAGCTACAGTTTTGAGCCCCTTCTTTGTGCCATGCTTTTCCAGCTGTGTTCCAAGCCTTGTAATCTTCACTTCTTTCCATAGGGGGAAGCTGAGAACCTCAAGAGAGTGAGTAATCTTCCAAAATCCATCAGCCATGGATTTTGGCAGAGTGTGAGTTTGAATCTAGCTCTGGAGAATCTCTGTTATCAGTCTGTGTCTAATGAAGAAGAAACAGGCAAAACTGTACATTAAAAGTTAATGTAAAAACAAAAATTATAAGATTGAGAGCAGGAAATTTAAGAGATACTGTTAAATCTTTGCTTTGTTTAATTTTACACTGAAAGTGGGTTCTCACACATTGGCATTGCTCAGCTGTGGGCAGAGGCAGTAAGAAAGGAACTCAGACCAAGGCGGGCTGCAACCCTGGGGCCCTTCGTGCAGGGCCGGTGGGCAAGGGCATCCTTGTATTCCTTGCCCGAGGGCAGGCTGCCTGGGCATGGCCTCAGCACAGCCAAAGCTGGATTGCTAAGAACAGGTAGAAAGGCAGGGCAGGCTGTGCTTGCGCCTTTAGCTCCGTTTTGTCCTCATACTGCACTGGAAGGAAAGGCTGCGTATTTCCCTGGGGCAATTTGGCAATGCAATGTCTGTGTGGCATTTTCATGTCTTAACCTCTCTGTTCCCTTATTGGCACCATTGTCCCTTATTTCTCACTTTTAACTCCTTCTTCTTGAGTTTCTTTCTCTTTTTTGACCTTTTCGGCCTCCTTAGTTCTCGTGTTCAGTCTCTTCTTTTCCCTCCTGGTGGCTGCCTCCCCATTGCCCGGACACACTGTATCAGCGAATCCCTCAACAGTGTCCTATCTAACTTTTTTATTCATTGCATGATTTATTTTTAGCCTGAAACAACTGCATCCTAAAAATGGAGTCCCTAATGAGCCAGAGGCTGGGCAGAGAGCTATGTAAAGTATCTGGGGCTGGGCCACCAGCCTCTGGCTGGCTCTTACTCTGTGTGTGAACCTCCACTGTGTCCTGAGCCCAAGACTGCACAGCTTGCAGGACGCAAGGTGGTGAGGGCAGATCAGGCTCTCTCTCCTTACTTGGCTCAACAAAACCCACTAAGAGTTTTCCTGCACGCGCTATTTTGGAGAGAGGAGAGAGAGAGAGAGAGAGAGAGAGAGAGAGAGAAACTTTTCCCAAATGAAGCAAATGAAGAGAACTCATCTACTAGTTTTGGGAGTCTACTTGCTGTCCTCTTGCAGGGCAGAAGAGGGGTTGAATTTTCCCATATATGATGGGAAGGACCGAGTGGTAAGTCTTTCAGAGAAGAACTTCAAGCAGATTTTGAAGAAATATGACTTGCTTTGCCTCTACTACCATGAGCCGGTGTCTTCCGATAAGGTCGCCCAAAAGCAGTTCCAGCTGAAAGAGATTGTGCTAGAGGTGAGTGTGTCCCTGCGTACCTGAGCAAGGGGCGGTGAGCCTTTGGTCAGGGGCTGGGATGTGGAAATGAGGGCATGGGGGTAAATATTCATGTCTGCTGCATTTCAGTCTCATGTGAACTAAACTTCAAGGAGGTATGGGGCCAAACTCCATGAAAGGCACTGGACATTGTGCACAGTGGTGGGTCTACTGCTATGTCACAACTCTTTCTTCTTGGTTTCTCAAGACTCATGTCCCACATGGTTTCATTGTTTTTTTCCTGATAGAACGTTCAGACTGTTAAACTACTGGTTGAAACAAAACTCAGTTATTAGTGGGTTTTATGTGGTATGCAATTCCCCACTCTTTGCTGCTCCTATCTGTTCTCCCCTTGATTCTGGAGAAATACGTCTTTTGACCTTCCTGTCTTTCTGGGTCCGAGGGAGGGCACCCCCATATGGTTTTTATCTCCTGTGATTTGGCTTCTCAGCAGCATTAGAGTGTAGCTGATTGATCTTCTGAGCTGCATATTCATTAGCAGGGATTTTTATTCGCTCGGAAAGTTCTTAGTGTGAGCTTAGGCCAGACACTGAAGTCACTTCTTATTTTATCTGCATTGCATGGCCTGTTGGTCACCTGGCACTGGGGCCATGTCTAATCCTTGGTGAGTGCCACAGAAATGATCCCAACAGCTACTCCTAGACAGCTGGAGCCACTTACACTTCAGGAGCTCCTGGGCCGCCAAGAGCCCTAGAGGGCACCAGGGCTCCTCCTCAGTTCTCAGTCCTGGCCTGGGCACAAACCTGTGGAAGGAGCAACTTGAGATTGTGCAGTTTATTGTCAGTACAGTCACAGAACTCAAGTTAGTCAAGTAGGTTGCCCTCCAGCCCAGGTGAATTTCAATTAAAAAGGATAGACTATGATAAAATCCAGCAAATCCATCATGAATATATCAAAATATCTTAATTCAAAAAGCACTTCAGAAAGTATCTCCTGATCCTAAAAAGAGCTCTGATGTTTTAAAAATATCACCACTGCCTTTAAATTTTCCCTTGTCTCCAGAGGCTCAGGGTAGAACCTCAGTTTCCTTCTGCATTTGCAAAGAGAAAAAAAAGCAAAAGTGCTTGTTAAGTACTCATACTGTACTTAAATGGGAAACTCACTGGGTGGAAAAAAAGCAGACAGGGAGCAGAGTTGTTGCTGGCCCTGTTACATCAGCACTTATGTTATCATTTCCATCTCCATCTGCCATCCTCAATTACTAAGAGACTATGGAAAAGTTCATTGAAGGCATATGGATTCTGCTTCCTGTGTTCATCATGGTCCAGTTAGCCCAGAACTCAGAAAGAATGCCTATGTGTGGCCAGGACAAGAAATGACAGTAATTTCTGACTCCCTGTCATATTAAAGTGTGTGTGTGTGTGTGTGTGTGTGTGTGTGTGTGTGTGTAAGTTTATACTACCCTAAGTCTATACCTTTCCAGAGACTGAATTCTGTGTTCCCATGCAAAATCATGAGAAGGGACTCTGTCAGGCTCTCCAACCTTCCAGACATCTTTGCTCCAATAGTGTCCTTTCCTGCATGGCTCCTGTTCCTGCAGAATCTGTTGAAGGGAAGTTGGACACAGGAGCTAACTTGAAGGAGCTCAAGATCCCTAAGCAAGAGTGGGCATGACTAGAGCAAAGAAACACAGCATTTGCCAGAATCTCTGAATTTAAATTTTGGCTTTAAAATTTAAATTTTGCCTTTAAAAACACAGCATTTTCCAGAATCTCTGAATTTAAATTTTGGCTTTGCCTCTACAGGCTACATGATCCAGGGCAGGTTACTTAATTTCTTCAATTCTCATTTTCTTATCTATAAATATGGCAAAATGACAATTATCATACAGGCTTGTGGAAAAGTTAATAACAAATTAGCACTGATGGAATGATTACTGCTTGCAGTGTTGGTTCAGAGTACTTTGTGCATGTTTGTTCATTTAATCCTTATAACAATTCTGTAAAGTGAAGAGAGTCTCTATTCCCATTTTATGGAGCACAAAAGACAAAGTTCTCCAAAGTCACAGAATTAGAGCAAGGAAAGGCTGTTTCATCCCTATTGTGCAATTCTTGGAGTCAGTTTAAGGATCTTTAGGTACTTTGTTGAGGATCTTTTTAAGCATTTTCCTCAAACAGATTTGTGTAGCTCACGTCTGAGCCTGATGATGCTGGCTGGGTCAGCATTAGAGCCCAGGCACACAAAACCTGGAGGTGCTACTCATTCAGGAGCACAGCAGAGAGGGGCCTTGGGCACTCTCATTAGAGCAGGAGAGGGCATCACCTTTGTTGAGGTACCTGTCAGATGCAGGCTCTGCTCTTCAGAATCTAGAACAAAATGGCTTCAGAAATCCTACAAGTAAAAAGAGAGGGTTGATATGAGACTTTTCTTCCTGGTCAAAACCATCATTTTGTTCTTAATCTCAAGGATCCCAGACTTGTACTAAGAAGGAAATTTTTCTAGTTCCAAGGCTATGGTTGTCCATGACAGGAAGAGAAAAGAGGAACAGCTCCCAGGCACCAAGTCAGCGAGGGCTCAGTTATTGCACCTGGATGCCCCAGGGCGTCAGGGTGCCTTGCCTCCTGATGGTTTGTGAGGCTTTTTATTATAACTCAGAGTTATCATTAGTTACTTAGTAGCCTTCTCAGTTAGAAGAAGGCACAGTATTGGAACCACCGTGCCAGAGAGTCTTCTAACATGGCCAGTTTACAGGATGAAATGCTTGAGAGATGCTGTTCTATGACCTGGACTACCAAACCAGATAGACCTGCATCCAAATCCTTATCCATAAAATGGACACAATTGTGATATGAGGACTGAGTGAGGCCATGTGGCAATAGCGTAGCTTCTGCTACACAGGCGACACCAAATACCGACCCATGCTCAACACTTTCAACAACCTTGTCAACCCCTTTTGTTAAATTAGGCCTCTTCCTGTTCTCAGTGACATTTCTGTCTCCTTCTCTTTGAGAGGTGCTTTGAGTTGTCTTCTCACTTTCCTTCCAAATCCTACTAAACTATATCTGCCTGCAGGGGCGTGTGTGTGATGTCTCCCTTCAGATTTCTCAGCCTGTGAGAGTAAACTGAATTCAAAGCAAACTTAATAATGCAGAAGCAAAGCAATGACAACTCCAAAATCTGAATCAAGTTCACACTGAGCAAGGATGATAGAGAAACTCTTGTAAAATAAAGTGCCCTTGAATGAATGGGCTAGACATAGAAAAATATGAGTGGAATTCCAGCTGTCCACGCATAAGCAATATAGCGACCACAGAATGGGTTCCCAAGAAGTCGAAAAGTGGCATTGCCATCTAAGCCAAAGTGGGGAATCATTTACTTCTCTCTCTTCCCCTTCTACTTCTACTTCTACAGATCTTATCCTTCTCTGCAAAGCCTATATCCTTTCTCTGTACCACTCCATTGCTAGGAAAGAAGGAATAAAAAGGACATGTGATTTTTCCTCATGAGTTTCCTACTTAAACATAAAGAAATTTATGGCCACTTACACCTTCCCCTGAAGAAAAGGAGAAAAAAAGACATGTGTGGACCTGAGAGGTCAGTGTTAGGGTCTCTAGGTACTTTCCAATTCCTATTCACACATCTAAAATTTGAAGCTGATACTATTAATGGAGCACGTGTGATTGGGAGGAAGTGGAAGGTAGGGACCTGTTAAATACATCAACCTATAATACATTTATTGTATTGAGGGAAGTCATAAAGATATTTCAGTAAAGTTCATATTTTAGAACATGAAAATAAATATCATGAATTCATGAATGAATTAATCAAATATTCAACAGATACACAACAATCTTAGCACAGTTAAATGAACAAGTGAGCAAATATGTAGATGGCAAATGAGCAGCGTACTCCACATTGTGAATAGCTGAAACTGGTTCATTTGTTTAACATGAACCAGGTCCCCTGGACTGGGAGGCAACCTGGGTCTTGGCACAGATATAGCCATGAACTTTGTGGTTGAATACCAGGTTGAATACCAGGTTGACCGGTTGTTCCTCTAGCTTTTCATCAGGGTGCAGCTAGAGTTCAAAGTCTAAACCCTCTGTGGGATACCAGTTTTTTCTGCTTTAGAAGGACTCATTGTAGCTCATACTGAGAAGGTATGGGGATATTTTGCTCCCATCAATGAAACACCTGCCTAGAGTATTTTCCCTAAGCTTTATTGGGTAGTAAATGGCAGGGCCACTTCTTAAGAATTACTGGAAATATTCTATCCTTAGCAGGAAGAGTTACTGTTATGACTAACTCCTCAGTGCTGGTTACTTTCTAATATTTTAGATAAAGATTCTAGAATGATTCTTGCTCATCAGGCACTGTGGAGTGAAGGAGGGTGGTTCCAGCATCCATGGCAGAATCCAGAGTGAGAATCCTATGTAATGCAAGCCTCTGGCTTCTGCAGCTGTCAGGTTGGTCTCTTGATGACACTGCTCTCAGTTTAGGATTTATTTGGGGAAAGGGATGACACACATCTCTTTGGTTACCTGGTCACTTCATCCATTTCTCCAAAAGAGATGGCAAATCCAAGAACCTCGAAAGTATGTGGATGTATAACCCTAAAATGTTATGATGTTTAAGGGGCCCTACAGGAAAGCTCAGAGAGAAAGGGTAAGTGTTGCGCAGTGTAAAGCTCAGTCTTGTGAATACCAAACTAGGTATATTCATCCTTTCATTCATTCATGAAATACTCATCTTACAAAGATGCAGATGGTGTGAGCCTTGGCATCCAAGATGTTCCTCTGCTGTTGACGATAACCTGTCACTTTCTTTAGGTCTATGCTTAAAAGTCATCTTATCAAAGAATTTTTCTCTCTGATCGCTTGTATGTCATACTCTCCAAGATTTCTGCTTCCTCTATTTTCCTTGGTAGTACTGAGGTGACATATCACACATTTTCTGACATGCCCCCCAAATTTAAAATCTGCAAAGGTAAGGACTTTGTTCTATTTACTGCTGTACCCCAG